AAGAGAACAACAGAATAATTTATCAGTGTTAAAATCTACGATCTGTTATCTATATACGTAGTGTACTCAAAAAAAAACATTTTGTTTCCGCAGATAAAAGTCCATACGAAAGAGTTAATGAAGTTTTTTTTTAGTAAAACTCTCAGATAGTAGCCTTGTTAATTAAGCGTACTCGATTAGTTTCAAGACATGTTTTGAAAATATTTTTCAAATAATCTGTGATTCAAAAACTCATACTCTCCACCAGCTATAGTTTAGCTTCAAAAGATAATGTTTCGTGTCTTTTCTAAAAACAACTAGTCAAATATTCTTTAAAGAAACTGGCAAATGTAAGAACAAAAACTTGATTAACTTTTTCCTATGAGATTTTCTCTGCCAAAATCACCAACTGTGATGTGTTTTAACTGGTCTCCCAGAAGAGACTGCATTAAATCCCATTACATTACTTTTCTCTCGTTTCTTGATCATAAAAACAATTTCTTTTCTATCTAAAGATGGAGAATTTCAAGCTCAACAAAACTGTTGACTTTATTTCTTCAAAAACTTTCTCGTGTCGATGCAAAGTTTAGAAGAAGATCACCGACTTAATCATTCAACTGTGACAGTCAAGAAAAAAAAATATGATAATCAATAATACTAATACGCAATACATAAAGTGAAAAATCTCCCGTAGATTACAGCTGTTTTCCAAGATAATCGATCATTAGAGAAACGATGTGTCTTATTTATTTCTGCATTTCAAGCAGAAGAGCTTTCTAATTCTTACAGACATTCTTTTTTTTTGTTTGTCTTGTTGCAATTTACTCGTTATTTTTCTTTATCATATTATATTTTTCTTAATTTAACGTTATTATTATTCTACTCCTTAACGTAACCAACAAATAAGCCACTTGTACACATGAATCATATCTACAGCAGGTTTCAGTGCACTATAATAGATCTGTATTAGCTTACAAACAGTAATATTGATATTACCCATTGTCCATCCTTGACATTTTGATTATAAATTTTAATGTACGCAAAAGTGAGAAGCTGAACTATTTAGAACATTCACAAACGCATTCTAAACATTCAAATTTCAATGAAGGCTTTGGAATGCTCTAGGACAGTTTAGGTCTCGTCGTTAGTACTTTTTTTCCATCACTGAGGAACTCTGGAAAAAGATTCTGACGTCTATTGTCTTCATTAGCTAAGATCTGTAATGAGAAAGAGACGAACCGAAAAGCTTTGACTTAAAACTTACATCTACTATTTTCTTCGAAAGTATACATGAATTCTACAATACTGACAGTTGTCAGTTCTACATCTTTTTCTCGTAAACGTCAGCCTCGGAAGCCTTGAAAAAGTCGTAGAGGCAAAGAACACAAAATTCTCTATCTATTGGCATTAAGTAATTTAATTTTGACATGCGCTTTAAAACAATCAGTAAGCATCAGCAGAGAATAGAAGATCTTAGTTCAATAACAGACTAAACGTTGACACTTTTAAATTTAGCGCTTACTAAGTTACACTTGTGTGGAAAACAAAACCAATAAAGAAAAATTGTTATGCTTAGGAAATAAGTGAAAAAAAAAGCACTAAAATTAAATATTCTTGGGCAAGTGTGTAGTAGATTATCAAGATTCAACTTACAATTCTATACTTTTTTGTTGTTGCTTTAATTGTCCATAAACTTCAACAAGAGAAATCACAGCATCAGTATATTTTGCATTAAATCCAAGTGCTTTTTCTAGATAAACTCGAGCTTTATCTAATGATGATGGTTCTTTTGCAAGGACTTGTCCACATAATGTAAATGCTCGAACATTCTCTTTTAAATTTGTTCGAACAGCATTTGTAATAAACATATCTAAATAAAAATTTTATTTTCAATTTTTTGTTCTGTTTTCTTTTTTGTATATCAACATACTAGCATCACTTAATCTATTCGTTGCTAAATAACCATCCACAACACCTTTATATCCTTCGAAACAATATGGTGTTAAACGCACAGCTTCTTTATAATGAACAAGTGAATCTGAATATCGTTTTAATTTAAATAATGCCAGGCCTTTAAGTAATAATGCTTGAATCCTTGTATTATCTAATGCATAAGCTTTTTGTGCAAGATAAACTGTACGTGATGGTTTATGATTTTTTTTTAAACAATAATATCCAATAGCAATCCATGTTTCAGGATGATTATCACCAAGTGACATTAAATGATTAACTAATCTAAATAGAACGAAATTTTTAATTTTTAATTTTAATTAAAACATTTTTTTTAATTACTTTTCTAATGAATTATCTTTACATTCTGTATATGTAAGAAATGCAAGTATATCCATATGTTTTAATAACAATGGATCAATTTGTTGTGCTCGTTGTAAACTATGTAATGCTTGTCCATAATCACCATTTAAATATTGATTATAACCAAGTTGACATAAAACATATGTTGATTGTGGTAAATATTGTGCATCAATTTGTTGATAAAGTCTTGATGCTTCAGCAAAATCTCGACTAGTTGAACAAGCATCAGCTTGTAATAAAGCACGAAACCATGGTTGACGTACTAATGGGGATACTGTTACAGGTGTAGGTTGTTGAGCTTGATTTTCATGATGTATTGATGCAGCTGATGGATGTGTATGCAAAAGATCACTTAATTTAATACCAAGAGCAAGTAAAGCAATGTAAGCAGATAATGCATTAGGATTTTGTTTTAAACATTCACGATAAGCACTGATAGATTCTTGTACTGAACCACCAGCTTTTTGATAACATTGACCAAGTGCTAAATGAATTTTTGCTGTACGTTGTTGAAATAGAATCGATTCAAGCTAAATGATTACATATTTTTTCTTTTTTAAAACGAAATTCATATTTAAATCTTGACTTACAACAGTAAGAGCTTCTTTTAATCTATTTAATTTAAGTAAACATGTATGTTGACGATATTTACATTCTATAATCCAATCAGGTTCCAACTAAACATATACATGTGTTTGAAATTATAAAATATTTAAAGATAATCACATATTTACCGCATTTTTATCATATTTATCCAGTTGTTTATAACTATGTAATACTTTTTTAAAATAAGATTCAGCCAAATGATATTCATGTAGAAACCAAGTTGAATCAGCCAAACAACGATAAACAGTTAAACGTTGTTCATTAGTTAAATAATCTTTTCCACATTCATCAAGTGTTAAGATAAATTCTGCCTAGAAAATTAATTATAAGATTGATTAAAGTTAATCATCTAGTTATATATGTATATATTACCAATGTTTTACAATCGTCATATAATTCAGCATTTCGAAGTGTCTCAAGTTGTTCGATTGAACTCATAATATTCTTTCTGAAAATGATGTTTTTTTCTTATCATAATTTTCATAAATATATTTTATTCAAATTTTAATCGTTCACTTTTGTCTTATTTTATATCAATAATTTTTAACAACAAGGAAAAACAGAAAACAATAACAATTAGATATCACTGTACGCAGTTTTAACTTAGTAATACAACAAATAAACTAGAAAAAAATTCCAATATGAATGAGATGACTTAAACCAATAGAAATGATAACAAACATTTCATAATTGTTTGAAGATAGATATATAATAAATAGAAATATTTTATGCTTATTTGAATACATTCCTCACCAATAACAAAAAACCAATGACGAATAAGATTAGATGGAAATGTATTTGTATGTAAATAACCAAACACAAGACCAACGACAAATATTATTAAAATAAAGAAGAATTTTGCTGATGATTGTTGAATAACAATATCTTCTTCTTCTTCTTTTTTGTTTGAAAAATCGGAATCCATTATTTGACATTGTTTTATTTGTGGAAATAGTGTTTCTTGTATTATTGATGATGAATCTTTTGTTAATAAGCATGGTACTATTTGTGACGGTGATGAATGATGAGAAAAATTTTTATTTGGAGAAATAAATATATCTGACGATGTTGAATTGTGTTTTTCAATTGATAAATTATTTTGAATAGTTGAACGAGACCATAATTGTGTTTGATTTTTATCAAATACAGATGAAATTTTTAATTTTAAAAATGGATTTGAATCATATGTAACATTTGATGACGATAATTTATTTGAATATGTTTTATGACTTGATGAAAAATAATTATTACATTTACTTTCATTTAAACTACAACTTTTAAACCAATGAGTCAATGTATTAATATCATCAGTTAAAGAATTTTGAAATTGATTTTTTGATAAATCTTGTTTTGAAAAGAAAATTGAATTAATTGATTTTGTTGTCATATTAGTAAATGAATTAATATTATGTTGAATTATTGACTGACATTGTTCTTTAGATGGTGTTTGTGGAATAAACAACGTGTTTTCAATAGTTGTAATTCTTGATCTTGTCATTGGTGGTTCATTTTGATTATTATTTAGTATTGATACTGATTGTTTTTCAATTAAATATGGAACTTGCTGACTAAGATCATATTCTGAATCATAATCAATGAAAAAACTTTGTTGAGAATTTTCATCATTAGATAAAATATTCCAATTAGATGTTAATGTCATTTTTTAATCATAATCTAAAAAACAACAAAGACAGTTGACAATACAGAAGAAAAGACAAAAAGAAAAAACCAAAACAGGAAAAGAGTATATACCATCATCATCATCATCATCTATCGTGTTTAACAAAAAGATACACAAAAAAAAACTGTTTCTCTAAATATTATGTTCTTTGTTGTGTATTTCGTTTATTTTCCATTCTTTGATATATATGCATTAATTGTCGTTTAGCTTCACATTCAGGTAATGATTGTAATTCATAATACTGTGGTGCTATTGTTAATAACCATTCTGGTTTAATATCAGTTACAGTACGTATATAATTTTTAGTTGTTAATACAAATTCATTATATAAAACCCATTCAGGTTTATGATCAAGTACAGTTGAAGGATGTAATTGAACAATTTGATTATCTTTTATTGTTAAATAGTGTCCAGTTTTTTCTAAATGTGCTGCTTGCATAAAAAAACCACTAATTAATGCTTTACGTATATTTATATAGTAATCTGGTGATGTGAATTCTGTTGATGAACGTTTAAGATTAAATCTAAAGAAATAAAATTTTTAAATTTCAATATGAATTTAAAAACAAAACAGCGACTATAAAGTTTTAACTACAGAATAGAATATAAGTTGGTTTGTACATATTGACTTTCTCTATCCACTGGTGTATGTATTATTAGATTCTACTGCGTAACGTTGACACATCAATAGTTGGCGCTACCTATTGACGTATCAATCGTACGCAGTAGAACGATCTGAGGCAGGAAGTAGGCAAAAGACAAAAATTACTGTGACCCAATCCTTCTATAACAGATGTTCTACTACTAGATCATTTCCTTCCTGAAACATGTCCTAGTCCTATTCACCTCGTAACAATATTTTCTACTCATTTTTATTCTACTCTTTGTCAGAGAAAATCACGTGGTGTTTTAAAATTCGTTTTCTGTCTAAAGTTACTACGAAACTGTAAAAACCTAGTAGAAAATCTGACAATTTAAGAGAGAAATATTCTCGTTCTTCTCCTTCTAATTGAGAATCTTAGAATCTACATGAATTCCACTCTATTGTCCAAATTGATCAAAAAACTTATAGGCATCTTTCTTTTTTGTTTTTATTTACCGATCCATAATACGTCCAAGTTGTGTTCGAACATTATCAGCTGATTTTAATGAACGATAATTAACAAAATTTTCATAACACCAATGATTATCTTCATGATTTTGTTTAAATGCATGATAAACATTTAACATTGTTAAATGATCACCATCAATATGAGCAAAACGTGCTTTAGCTTCATCAGCTTGTTTACGTACATCATTTGGTCGTACGAAACATTGTGGTACCGAAAGCATAGCTGTTAATGATAAAATTTCATTTGAACATGAATAATCGCATGATGCTATAACCATTTTAGCTAATTGTGGATCAAGTGGAAATTCAGCCATCATTGAACCTAATTCTGTAAGATCACCTTCATCATCAATGGCAGCTAAGTAATTTAATAATTCCAATGCACGCATTAATGTTTCAGGTGCTGGTGGATCCATAAAATCAAAATGAACAAGATCATCAATACCTAATTTTTTTAATTGTAATACAACACTGCCTAAATTTGATCGAAGAATTTCTGGATATGTATTTTCATGCATTTCACTTTTATATGCTTTTTCTAAAAATGAACAAATAAAATTGATAAAAAAAGAAAAAAATAAATAAATTATAGTCATTTGGTTTCTAGTTCAGATTGAAATTTTAATATTTTTGCTCTTTTGTACTTTTTTATGTAATAAAAAATATTTATTATGTCGCAGTGATAATTCATTATATTGACTTTTACATAGTAGTTATCGTTTGTCAAAATCAATTTAATTAATTGTTCTTATTCGGGTAATTATAAGAGACATTGATATTGATTTACAAACGGAATATTTACTAGTGATAGTGCTGAGCATGACAAATATCAGTTGAGATAGTCAGAAAAAGAAGTTTATGTATTTATACATGCTTGGACAACTTATTAATGATAACTCTTTATCAAAGAAACTTATGCATCGTATAACTTTCATTAAATAAAAATATTGAAAACAGCACTTCTATACTTAGTTACTACTTAGTATTCGGAAAAATAAAGTAATTGCATAAGCTATTCTTGGACGGGCGTTTGAAACCAAAGAACTTATAGTTTTTGTTTTCTTACCAGTATAAAGACGAAAACATTTGCCTGGACGTGTACGTCCAGCTCGACCAGCTCGTTGTTGTGCACTAGCTTTTGATATTGGTGTAACAAGAAGTGATTCAACACGTATACGTGGATTATAAACCTTTTGTTTTGAAAAACCGGGATCAATAACAAAAACAACACCATCAATAGTTAATGATGTTTCAGCTATATTTGTTGAAACAACAATTTTACGTCCAATAGCACCATTTGGTTTATTTGGTGGTGCTGGTTCAAATATACGTTGTTGTAGATTAGGTGGTAATGTTGAATAAAGTGGAATACATTTTACTTCACCGGCTTCAGGTCCTAAACTTTCAATGTCACGTTGAAGACGTTTACATGCATCTTCAATTTCTTCTTGTCCAGTTAAGAAAAGAAGAATATCACCTTAGAAAACAAAAAAAAAAAAGATTTTGTTATATGAATTAATTTTAAACATAAAAAGGCTTACCTTCTTGTTCTTCACTCATATGAATTTGTGTTGTAGTACGTATAGCTGCTTCTAAATAATCACGTTCGGGTTCAGGTGTATAAAAAATTTCAACAGGAAATGTTCGACCAGGTATAGTTAGTAATGGTGCTTTATCAAAATAATCTTGAAATTTACCAGCATCAAGTGTAGCTGACATAACTAATAAAGAAAAATTTTATATTCGATAAACAAAAAAATAATTAAAATTCTGTTTTTTAATTTATTAACGTACCAATTATTTTTAAATCTGATCGTTGTTTAGCTACTTCTTTTAAAAGACCCATTAAAATATCTGTTGCTAATGTACGTTCATGTGCTTCATCCAATAATACACATGAATAAGATTCAAGTAATGGATCAGACATAGCTTCACGTAATAACATACCATCAGTCATATATTTTAGAATTGTTTTTGGTGATGAACAATCTTCAAATCGAATTGAATAACCAACTTCTTGTCCAAGTGAAACATCCATTTCATTTGCAACACGTTGTGCAACAGACATAGCAGCAACACGACGTGGTTGTGTACATGCAACACCACGACGTTTTTGCCCACTTTGAATAGGTAAAGCAAGTGCAAAATCAACACACCATTGTGGAATTTGTGTTGTTTTACCTGAACCAGTTTCTCCAACAAGTACAGTAACTTGATTTTTTTCAAGTGTTGCCGTAAATGCTTCTTTATATTCCCAAATAGGTAATTGTCGTCGTTTTTTAAGTAATTCAAAATATTGTTGTGAATAATTTTGTAATGTAAAACGATTAACTGTTGTATTTGTTTGAGACATATTGTTATAATCTTTAGTTTTATTACTATTATTAAAATAATCAGTTTCAGATGAATCGTCAAAACGACGTTTTTTTGGTTTATTTGATGCACTTGAAGGTGATGAAGGAGTAGGTGAAGAACCAATATCAACACGTTGTTTACGAGAGCTCATTCAAATAATTTTATTTATATTTGGAGTAAGTAAAAACAATGGGCATCGATAAATGAAATAATATACAATGAAAAAAGTTTTTTTTCCAAATGTTGTTTACTAATAGACTTTTGCAATAATACAGATGTTAATTTCATTCACCAATTATATTTACGCATAGCAGATGTCATCCTAAGTTTAGTATGATGGCTCCATAACGACCAAAAATATAACGTTTAGACCGTTAAAAGCGTTCTTTCTTTTTGTAGATATTGTTGAAGGTATAAATTCATTTGAATCTGTTGATTTTATCTGTTCACTATGTAAGTTCGTTTATTATTGACAAGTAACGATTAGATTATCATTATATAAAGAAACTTCTCTCTATTAATATTGTTTTCGATAATATTTGTCTCTGTTAGATAGTAAGTGACATTTATTTATGACATACGAAAAAAGGTAGACGATTTAAGTGAAGATTCAATTTTGTAAATTGATCAATGATATATGAGCTATTTCAGTAAATAGTTTATTTATTTGGTTCATGCATTTAGCAATATTATTTTTTACTTATGTTTACTTTAAGAGAAAGGAATTTATCATTCTTAGACTTGATTTTCTTTCTGAATGGTATTGAAATACAAATAGTTTACCATTTAACTCTTCAGCTTATCCTGATTTATAGATGCATTTTGTTATAAGTAGAGATGTGTAAGATCAAGTCTTTTTTTTGGCTTTCGGTAACTCTTTTTTCATCTATCTCGGTCATAGTTTCAATAAATTTAGTCTAGCTCCAGTTCCAGTTTCGATAGCTATAGTTTGTAAAATTTGGATCTAGAAAAAACTATTTCAGAATTTATTTCTACCGCATCTAAAATACTTCTTCAATACTGATTTTTTGATTTAATAAGTCGACGACAAGCATTTCTTTGTAAGATATCTCTCTTAAACTGTATTCTAATTCATATAATTTATAAGATAATTCACTTAAAACCATAGAATATTTAACGCTGCTCCTCAGTTTCAGTTAGGAGAAATTTTCACTGGTGACTTCGATTCCGTTCTTAGTAACTTCTATGTTACATAGTCTTAGTTTCAGCTCATTATCTTCTCTTTTTCGTGGTTCAGGTTCTAGCAGGTTTTTCTTGTAGTATCGGTCTACTTTTGACAAGTCTCCAAGTTTTAGTTGCGGTCATGAAGGCTGAGACTAAAATAAGTCCTGCACATATTTAATCTACATATATAATAAATCTGAAATTAGAAACGCATAGTTGAGACTATGATCATTCATGAACATAAGTAGCATTAAAAAATCAATTTGTTTTTTAGATTATGTCAGATAGTACTCGTTTAAAGATCTTAAATACTATTGAACAAATGTGTAAGTTATGTGTCGAACAAATGTATCGACTACCATCATCATTACCATCGTTGACAATTAATGGACAAAAATATCAATGGGATAATAAAATTGATGATAGAGATCGTCGAGATTTTACAAGATATATATATGTTTTATCGACGATTCATCGTCTTGTTCGTACACAAGGTCGAATGAATATGAGAGAATTATTTTATTCTCAAGTAAATCTTTTTCATCATCAACGTATAAGTGATAATATCGTTGAACAAATTGCACGACATTTATGCGTTGATCGACGTCAATTAGGATTAGTTGCTACAGCAAAAGGATTTTGTGCTGGTTTGTAATTCTATTGACGATAATAAGAAAAACATTATTGTTTATTATGATTATTTAGGTAATGTACAATATCGAAATTTACGTAGTGGAGAAATTATCAATTGTAATCAATTATCTAATGGTCATTTAATTGTTGATGATGACATTGAAATTATTGAAACAGAAAATCATATTACATTTATACTTGTTGTTGAAAAAGATACGATTTTTCAGGTAGTGATTTTTTTTAATAAAATAAATTAAAAAAACAAAATTACAAAATCTTTTCAATGATTTTAGCATTTACTTAATGATGGTTTTTTAACTCGTTATTATGGTGCATGTTTAATAACAGGTCGTGGTCAACCAGATCATGCAACACGTTCATTTCTTTTGCAACTATCTCGCCTATATATTGATACTCCTATATATATATTAACTGATTGTGATATATTTGGTGTATTAATTGCATGTACTTATCAATCAACATTTGATGAAAATCATCGTCATCGTCTTCGATGGTTAGGCGTATGGCCTGAAGAATTATTATCATTATCCTCATTGAGTATTTCTCAAACATTACCAATAACGGATGAGCGTGAACGTCGAATGATCACTAGATTTATTCAACGATCAGATATTAATGATGAATGGCGTCGTCAAGTTTCATTTTTTGATCAACATCAACGTAAAATGGAAATTGAAGCTATTTATGAAAATGGTACAAAAAAATTAATTGATGATTATTTACATGATAAACTTATGGGACATCGATGGTTGTAATTAGTCCTAGTTTTTTTCTTTTATATATTTCTTTTTTTTCTCTTAACATTTTCCTCTGTCTCTAATTCTGTTCTTAGTTAATGTACTTAGGTCAGACGAATCATTATTATTGCTGATAGAATTCGTTTATTTTCTTTTTTTAATTGATTTTTGTTTCTTTTTTTTTGTTCTTATGCTTACTGGTGAAGTACATCGTATTCCCAGTTTGGCTTAATAAAAACTTGGTTACTACTATTAATACATTTGCATATCTTTTTTTTTGAAAGTCATATTGATACGTATGTAATAATACTGATACCAATTGATATTGGCAGTTCGCCATCAAAAATTAAACTCGATAATTTCGAGAAACCAATTATAGATTCGAATCATTTGACCTCGAGTAAATCTTCCTCAGAATAAAAATCCATAGCCTTCTTTTATACACATTTATGTTGCTCTTCCAAAAATTCTCTTCTATTGTAAGCTAGTAGTGTAAAATACGATCTAAGAGGAGCATTGAAGTAGATAGAACAGAAATTAGAACCTATTGACCTCTTCTCACAGACCGTGACAAACATTTTATTTAACTAACTAATTAACAGATGATTAATTGTTCATTAATATCTCGTTAATGACACCTTGATGTATAATTAATGTAGAGAGTGCTGAAGGATATAACCAGAAAGGTGAACAATTCTCTACCTCCTACTTACAGACCTTGACCGACATGCTGGGACTCCATCACAGACCATGATGGACACACTGTGATCACACCATCGACTGTGCAAGACATTGTTGATATATGATCAACGACCATACATCATTAACGTCTTATCACAATATATGAACTATTTCGTGATTTGGTTTAGAAATGTGCCGCCAAATAGATGTTGTTAATTTAGAGAAGAAAGTGTCAAATGTATATAAATAGTTCCATGATGAATTAGATTGCACCCTTTGTTGGTTCTATATATCAATATATACAGAAATAACTTTTAAAACAAAACACTATTATCGATTATAATCTATCTATCTTAGTAACATGTTTTATGAAAGTCCTGAGTCAAAAGAGCACTCTTCAACCTAAACATATATATTCGTCTTCTAAACAAAAAATAATCAGTTTTATCATTGCTTCAATGATACAAGGAGCAACAGGATAGTTAATGTTAAGTTTTCCGAATATTATTCATTATCATTCAACTACATTTGAAATGTATAGTTAATAGAGGACTATCTTAGGTAAACAAATTCGGTAGAAACAAAAGCAGAAATATTCGTTTAAATATTCATAAATGGAATCAAATTATTATTAATGAACTCAACCGGTATTTTTGAGGAATGATCATTTAAATGATTCATTTATCTATCATGATAATTTTTATGATTGTTTGCTATCCTCCATATCATTTTGTAATCGTGTCTTTGAAAATAAAGATCGCCAATCACAAAGATAACAAACATTCGATTTAAGAACCACCGAAGAAAAGTATCTATTACAAGAAATTTCACATTTTCTAAGTGATAATCTTGTAACCAAGAAACATGTATTAGCAATGTTTTCATTTGAATGATTCACAAAATTAAAATCTCTTCTATTGTTATAATAAGCTCATAGGCTGATATTTTGATTTCTCAGATTTTTTATTCTTTCTACTGATAGAAATGTACTTTTATCAATGGATTGAAACTTAACAGAAATCATTGAAAATTACACAACATTATGGAAAGCTATGAGAAATTATTAGAAACCAAAAGTTACTACTCGGAATATCACCTATTGCCGAAAACTAAGGAAATTAATACAAAGGAGAACTTCACTTGTTATTTTTTATTTATGATTATCAAGAATTTCTGATAACTATCAATCGGTTCCAGTTCTTTTCCATATCCACATGACTATGATTTCTAGAGTTAGATATCAACTTGTTCCGAGGGCTAAATCACAGAGATCTTAGTCTTGAAGTCTGTTGTTTTCCTTTAACTTGTTCTCCTAGACTTCACGTAATTGTTTTTCAAAGAACATTACCAGAAGCAATCTATAAATGATTTCTTCGTTGAAACCACAATAAAAATTTTGTTCTCTATGAATGGGAGATGATCTTCGCATATCTTCAAAGAATGACACGATCCAAGAACTGAGAAAGACTATCAGCAAGACTATAGCAGAGTATTGAACATCAGTTTTTTCGCAGTTTTGCCATTCATAATAGTTAAAGTAATGTAGTTTTTTTAACAGTTTATCCAATCACACATTTCTTCATGCATAAGGATTTAGCAAAGAAATTTATTAAAATATAATCGCTCTCCTGTTATCGTTGAATAAATGTTTGTGAAAAAAATTTCTCACATAAAAATACAAAAGAACGATAGAAAAAGACGTCATAAAGTACAGCATTAAGAGAAAAAAATCAATATTTAGTTGCGATAATGTGTTAATACCTAAAATAAATCATATAAAATCAATAATTAGTGACATCTATTACAAACATATAAAAACAAATAAATAACCTATCACAAATAATATTAAAAAAAAAGAAAATAGTTATATGTGAATAATATATTATTAAAAATTATTTCTTAAAACTACTCTCTTATTTCAATTAATAGTTCATTTTTCGTTAGAATCAATTTAAATAAAAATAAAATTATATCGATTGTAGTGACGTCCGAAATGTGTGACATTTGATGTTTTTCTTCTCTGTTATTTATTAGTCTTCTATGTGAGTTCATATTTTTAATTATATCATTCTGTTTTAATTATTTTTCATTATTTCTGTTTACCTTTTGTCGTTTTCGAAGGTAATTTTCCAGGCGACTGGCTCGTCGCTAAATTGAATACAAAAACTCAATTTATTTCAAAACTATTTTTGATTTTCTTTTTTTTAATACGTACTAGTAATCCGCCACCACCATTGAGACATGGAGAAAATTGCGGAAAAGCTGAACAAAGTGAAGCTTTAAAACTTTGACAACTAAGATCAGTTTTTGGACGTTTAGAACATTCGTCATAGCGAATTTTCAATGCATTTAAGAGGTTACGACATTTAAGTTCGGCTTGATGCGTAACACAGTAATCTCCACGTCTTTTAAGCTCGTTTGGATCAGATGGAACCTATTAAAATATGAAAATAGGCGACTAAAATGAAATTCTAAGAGAAGCATACTTGAGTCCAATCGGAATCAGTAATCCATGTCGGTGGCTGGGGTACAAATCCAGAACAATAAAGTTCTTTAGGCCATATAAAGCAATATTTATCTTTGACATCATTACAAGCTGGTACTGGTGTTACCATTTCACGACATTTACGAAGTAAATCTTCCATTTGTGATTTAACTCGTGTACATTCATCGACGTTAGGAGTTTGAGCACATCTTTCGCGCATAACAATCAAACTATCTGTAGCCTAGAGAAGAAGATAATTTTTATACATGATTAAAACATGTCTTAAAATTCATGCACTAATTTACCCGAGAATGAAATGTACGAGCATTTAGTTGAGAGACAAATAGTAGAAGAACGAATAGTGTAATTCTTGCCAGCATGATACTGTCAATATCGACTGACACTTATTCGTTTTTTCAAGTGTATAAATAAGGGACCGAATATATACTAGTTGACAAATTATTTTTTTTTCTCTTTCTCATTCATATTCCGTTTACGTCTCTTTTTGCTCATACTAAAAGTAATGGTGATTGTAGGACATTATTTTAATAATGTAGGCGGTATAACTGTTAGCGATATCATTGCAATTCTCTTTTCTTTTTTTTTCTTGCTTTGTCAATAATGAAGCCATGTATGCACCTGAGAAAATTAATAGTAGTATGTGAACGAGAAAAAAAAAATCGAAAATTTCGATTGATTGTTTATCTTTTTTTTTTTTGGTATATTTAGATATGAGTTAAAATATATTTCATATTTAATTAAAATATAATATCAACAACAATAACCATAAAATAAAATAAAAACAAAGAAATAATCATGTTTTGGGAGTGTCATGTAGTCACATCATCAATTGATAAATTACTTGATCAACCATCGAATAGTGTTAGTTTACAAGATTTTCTTAATGAAAATGATTTAATACAAGAATGTCTTACACAAAATAATCGTCTTCTTGATTATCTTGTACAAGGACATATAATGAATGAATTAATTGGTTATTTAACAAAACGTCCCGTAGATAATAATTTTCATAATGCACAAGTTGTTAGTGAATTATTATCTGGTGATTTTCAACGTATACAAGAAAAATTACTTGAAAAAGAACATTTAGATTTATTATATTCGTTTTTATTAACAAATGAAATAAATAAACAATCAACAGTTAATCCAATACTTGCTTCATATTTTTCACGTATAATTATGACTTTAATCATACGAAAACCTAATGAATTAATTAATTATTTTAAAACACGTGAAACATTTAAAGAAGATTTTTTTCATCATCTTGATTCAACATCAATAACTGATATTTTATATCGTTTCATCTCTGATAGTGGTGAACAACGTTCTGAAGCTATTAAATGGTATGAAGATATTAATTTAATGGATGGTCTTATTCAACAATTATTAATAACTGAATCAACATATACTCAAACGAATATTGTTAATTTACTTGGTGAATTTATACGTTTAGCTTTTGATCAACATTATGGAATTGATAATGATATTCAACGAAATATAAATGCAACATTATCATCATCAACGATGGAATGTCTTCCTTATAATGCACAAGAAAATGATGAAGGTTTGAATTCAATCTAGAAAATTATTATAAAAAAAAAACAATCGAGTTATAGAAGAATAATTAATGTTAGATATCAAAGAATAGATAATTGTGAGAGTAGATCTTTTGTATACTTGAAATATTATTGACTCATTCTTGACTATAAAAGAAGAATGATCTAAATAGATGATTTATTGATGTAATTATAAAAGAAATTTCTGTCAAGATAAGAGTAAATCAGATTTATTATTAGCCTTAGAAACTCTTCTTCTTCGCATTAATCACAAGAACAATCTTTATTTTTCATGCTTTTGTTTTTTTTTAAATAACAAATTGCATTTTCACATTGTCTAAAACATAAAAGATTAATCGTTTTGTCTTTTATTTAGTGAAATGATTCTTCTACATTAGTAATCCTTTAACAAAAAACAGAGAAGTTTTAAAAACGATTGATCAAATTTGTCTTAATCCGATATAAACCAATACTTACAGAATATGCATTATAATGAATATTTTACTTTACGAAAAACCTTTTCTCCTTTTGACATGTTTGGTGAATAATTAATCAGAAAATTTCGAAAGTTCAACAATAGATAGATTTCGATAAGAATTTTTCTGTTTAATTTGATAGACAACGTTAAGAACAAGTTTTTCATGGTTGGAGATGCATGGAAACAAGACTTTTGGTTGCGGTGTAGAAAAAAATATTCCAGAGTTTATTCATATTACATCTAAAAAATTCTTCAATGCTCATTTTTGTTTTTTATTTACTTAGTCGACAACTAGTACTTTTTTTGGATTATTAATTTATATGATTTATAAAATAATTCACTTAAAATCATATCATATTTAATTATAATGTTTAGTTTTGATTGAAACAACTTTTTTTCTCGTAGGCCTGGTCCTAGTGTCAGCAACTTGCTATTCTCATCGCTGTGGTGACCACGATTGGGGCTAACATTGGTCTCACACATTTGTATTCATAATATCTTCTGAATGATTCTTTCAGAGAGATATGAACGTCATTAGAGCAAAAATGACACTCGTACTCTTGCTGAGTCTGTGTTTCTCTATAATGATATGCTCATTTAAGCTGAATTTTTTATTAGGAACTACTTGCTGTACTTCCTTTTTTGTTGTTATTTCCTATTTTTTTTACCTTTGCAAAAGATGATTATGCAGATTTGTATGAAAACACGAGATTTTAAGTAAAGCTTGACAGAGAAAATATAAATTTAGCTGCTCTCGTATAAACAAATATTTTGATGCTTCAATTTCTTCTACATTTCAAGCTATATTGAAAACTCTCAAAATGTATCAAATCGATGAAGGACACTTAGGAGCATAAGGAAGAAAAGCATACAAGCAAAACTTGAACATTCTTATGCCAAAAAAAAAAGAATGAGTTCTATTAAAGCAACATATTTCAATTTTGATCTTATATAAGCAATTTCTGGTACTTAGTAAACAGATCTATACAATACATTGACATGATTGAAACGAAATCCTATATTAACATTTTCATTTCACAAGATTTTACTGAACACATATTGATTGCTTTTCTTTCTTTATTAAAATAAGCACGCATAACATTTTTCTTCTGTTTTAATTTCGATAATATATTCATCAACTAGTATCTCATCGGTACTAAAAACCGATAAGACTTTTTATTATTTTCATTTAAAGCAAACAAAAAAAGATCCTTTTTTTTTATTCTTTTCTGATTCTAGAATTATCACCGTTTAATCAATTTTCATCGGGTAATGATACCGAAAACAAATCAACGAATAATCAAATTGATGACAAATTAACGCCATTAATTCTTGCTCAACATATTTTATCAAAATCAAATTTAAAAAAATTATTCGATGCACTTAGCACACAACCAATACTTGTTGCCAATGGATGTGATTTTCTTATAACTGTTTTTGATCTACTCTGTCGATATATGCCTTTACCACAATGCATTCCAATAACATCATTCGTAGAAGGAACATCAATATTAAAAAACGATTTACACCCATCTGAGAAAGAAGAAAATGAACGAATGCAGGTAAAATAAGTTTTTGTTTTTTAAATATTTTTATAAATGAAACTAAAATCTTAATATTTTTTGTATTTAAGGTAAATGATGAAGGGGATACATTACCAGTGATAAAATCTAATGAGAAATCGTCAGATGAAACAAATGCAAATGCATTCAAAACCCTTTCAGCTAACGTTAAAGATCCTCGTGTTCAAATTTATTTAATTTTTCTCGAAGTAATCCCTTCTCGATTACCATCTTTAATTGCTTTACTTTCAAATCCAGCGGCACCATTAATACCATCATCATCATCACAAGATAATTCACAAACAGTAAAATATCAATTTATTAGTGAACCTCTTGGTTAGTAATTATCAATTTATTTTCTTTTTCTATGTTGACAATTTTATTTCTTATGGATTTCTAGGAGCATTGCGTCTTAATTTGATTAAGTTTTTTTCAAAATTAATTCATACAATTTCAAACGATTATACCGGTGATTATATCTATCAGATATTAGATTCCAATCGTTTATTTAACATATTAATTGATCTATTTTATCATCATGTTTATAATAATTTTCTTCACACACAAGTATATCTAATTATTCGTTTAATTTTTCATATTAATGCATTAGCTGTTAAACAATCAAATGATATATGGACACGATTATCACTCAATGATCAAAAAAAATCACTTGATTCAGGTACAAATATCATGTGTCACTAATGTACAATTTGAGTGAATTTGTTTCTCTTTCATTAATATATAATTTAGCAGAGTTTGATGAGTTGGTCACGAATATATAATTGTTATTTCAATTCGACCATTATCCATCTAAAGAAAAACACCATAAAAAATTTGAATAACTGAAAATATAACATTGATAATTGTTAATTTGCTTTTCTTTACACAAATCGTTAAATTTCAATCGCGTTGTCTTTTTCAAAATTTGTGAAAATATTTTATTGTGATCAACATGAAAAAGTTGGTAGAAAAGTGTTATTGGATTAGATTTTGAGTGGATAAACTTTAAAAACTCTGTCGAATATATATAGTTCTAATATATCTTATAGCACTTGTTTTTGTGAGTATTCTTGTACACTTATATCAAAGTATAATGCACCTCGATATTTTTTTAATATTTCGAGAAAGAAATCAGCTAGAAATCTGCAGCTTTCACTATTCAATACTCAAGTTGGTGAGTTTTTGAGTATGAGTTAAAGTTTTCGTAAAAACTTTCTGAACTAAAAATGAGCTTCAATCTAGGAAATCGATAACGAAAACATTTCATTATTGATCTATGTGAAGTCTCGATGCTTCTAACTTATTCCATTCAGAAGTTATAACCATTTTACTGAAAGTCTTGAAATTGGTCGATTGACTACATGTCATTCTAAACTGTATTGAGTAGAATCAATTACAGAAGTTAAGATCTAGCAACTGACGATTATATTGAAACTGAAAGTAAATACTACCGTTGAACTCAGCGTAAGCAAATACATTAAACCCAATATAATTTAGAATGATTAGTGTTCAATTACTCGGTGTTCAGCCATTTAATAAAATATATATAACTCTTAAAAAGAATAAGCTAGATAGGTCGGAGTTGCATAAACCGATAGAGAAA